CTCAGAGTGAAACGACGTTCCAAAGTTTCATTTTCTTTGCATTTTAGGAGGTTGACACTATTTTTAATCGCCTGGCTCTTTTGTATCGTTTCCTCTCCTGCATCTTGGCTGTACCGCCGCTTTATCGGGGTAAATTCTCTGCACTCTCATCAAAAGTTATGTCATCATAAGAAATTCTCCTGGTTCTAAGTGATTGACACAGATAGTGTCATATGATTTTTTTAAATAATAATAATAATAATAATAATAATAATAATAATAATAATAATAATAATAATAATAATAATAATAATAATAATAATAAAAGCATTTGTCTTTGAATAAATGTTTGCAGCATTGTAAAGCATTGTGTCAATTTATAATAAAGAATAATGCATGCACTCTTTAACATATTCCGCTTGGTTTTATAAGTACATTTACATCATGTATCCATACATAAACCTTTCAAAATCTTAGATGTTGCAGATAAAAATTTAATTTGAAAAATATGTTTCTTCATCAGAATTAGCAACGATATGCAAGTTATTGTACAATTGAAAGCTACAATGCTTTGACGTGTTTAGGTACTTAGATATTATAAAAGAAATATTTAATTATCAAATGTCGTATGAAACTTTTCAGTCAATTATCTCTATTGACAGAATAATTTGAGAAGCGGATTGATGAACGTACTTCATTCTGCGAAGCTGCAAAAACAAATGTATATTTTCCCAACCGTCTAAAGCTACAGTCTTTTTAGTCATGTCTTTTCTAATTCAAAGGTTGTACTGAAACGGTAATTGGTCAGCTGGCACCTAAGCACGTCTGGAGAACAATAATTGAATAGAAGAGGTTTACGAGAGATCAAGGTATTTATTTGGCTAAGTAAAAAAATAGGAGGGAAGAAAAACACGAACAAATTAAAAATTTGAGCAAACTGGAATGTTTCAGAAAAAACTATAATTTCCACTAAATTTGAAGTGCCAACGTTGAATCCACTCATGAACGAAATAACTGATGAAAGTCACTTAAACAGGAAAGAAGTCACAGTGACTTAGTATGGATATACTTGTGTCGCTTTTTAAGCTTTAACGTTAGAAGTGCTTAATGCAAAATCGTAACATGATAACGAGTGCATGCAAAGTAGATCACAGTGATCTGTTTGCAATTATTGTTACTGTAACGATGAATGGATACATAAAGTGCACATCTTACTTGAAACCCACGACTGCAACGTCTTTGGAAACGGTTAGCATAAGGTTTGCATCGGAGGCGAAAATTAGATAAACATATGTAGAGAAAAGAATTTAAACAAAGGCAGATTGCATTTCGAAACACAAATTATGGACTCGAAAATCTGTTGACAGATTAATTTTTGTCGCGATAAGAAATATTTTTTATTCTGATATTTCGTCATCAGAAATAAATGATCTCGTTATCGAGATTGGTTGACATATTTGTATCTAGTTGCAAGTACTATATATTTATAAAAAAATTGAATGGATTAAGGCTGTTATTTCACAAAAAAGTTGTAATAATTAGATAGAGTCAGTGATTACAACTTTAATATAACAATTAAATTCATAATTAGCAAAGACAACAAAAATCATTAGATGTGTGTCGAGAGCGTTCATGCCATTAAACAATTCTTTCATGTTTGTGGTGAATCTGTTCCATTGTAGATTTTGTTTTCTATTTTATGACACTAAAAAAATTTATTTAAAATTGCGATACGGTCGCTTTAACTACAGTGAAAGAAAGCAAGAAAACGAGAACGAATCTTCGAGTTATAAAAGGAAACTGTTATGATCTCTTTTTCTAAATAGTTTGAAATATAACATAAACAGAATAAATTCATGCCATAACTGTGACTTTTTACTACAAAGAATATTTTTTGAGCGATTAATAGTTTTATATTACACTAAATACTATTTGTGAGGCATTTTGTCTGAAATATTTATTTTATTTTGAACACTATAAGCTGCTAAAATTTACAAATTGATGGGCATTGGAACAAGCTTAGGTCAACCCCGTACCAAAAACAATAGATCAAATAACGGTTAATTTCATCTTTTGGTGATGCTCAGCGATAGTTCATAATTTATAAACCACCAGACGACCTTTCCGTTGCAAAAAAAGACAATGCCAGCTCATGATTATCCAACTGGTATAGCAAATTTGACATTTCAATGCATATTTTCTAGAAAGGATGTAACACAATAACTACTTTATTAGTCAGGCACCAAGGCGCCAATAATCATTATTCCCCGTTTTTCATATTTTGCAACACTCCACATCTAATTCTCTTCATAGTGGTGATCATTTAATTTGATAACATCAAAAATGTTTCCGTCCAAAACATTCATCTATTATTCCAGTGGTGTTTTTTTTATCATCATCCACTCGTAAACTACAAGCCATAACGTTAACATTCCTAAAAGGCATTCCATGTCATTTGAAATCATACAAAATGTAAAGAGATAGTAATCAAGCTGAGGCTGTCATCCATGCTCCGCATAAAGTCCAACAAAATCTATCCGGACTGGCATAAGAGTTTTGAATGTATATAAGCACATCTATTGACGAAAACTATCTACCAGTACACATTATGTAGCCGTTTCCAAATACCATTTAAGTTACATTTTAAAGATAAGGGAATTATAAAACAATTTCGTAATGGCGATTGAGATTTATAATGATCATTATTAAAATCTTCACAGCTGTTCGAAATGAAAATATCCTATTAAAATGTTCACTTTAAACAAGGACTGCGGATAACGACTAGTTGATATATTGGTTATATGAAAATATCTTCAGAATATTCGTTTTTAAAAATGTATTTTCTGTCCTCATTTTATTATTCCACAGAATGACTTGTAAGTGCCATTGTCGTTCACGGTCAGTCTATATTCTTTTCAAGATGCATCTGGAGCTGTACATAGCTAAAATCTCCAATCATATTATTTATCTTAGTAATTTATTTATCAATATTAAAAATGTATCAGATTGTTCTTCCTCAATTTGTTTTATTTTAGACTTAACTCAAAATATGCCTTTGCAGTTGTCAGTTAATTCGTCTACATCTGATTCCGTCTTGAAGTGTAAGAACGAAATATTCTGATCCAACGAATTGTATGTCATATTTTAGCTATGCAACTGATTTAGACCAAGAACACATGCATGACATTTCTCGCAACAAAACCCCTTAATTTAAACATTTCAATAGCTGACTAATAATCTCTGTTCATTTTTCTCTACACATTTTTAAATCTCCTTTCTTTTCAACATTTTATGTATTTTGACTAAAGTGTTCTAGACAACTAATGGATTAAATTGTAAATATATCATTGCTTTCTTTAGATAACAATTTAATTTTTCATTATATGCATATTAAATAAATAGATATTTATGCATCACTAACAAAACAATTACAATTGGTAGGAAGTAAGCAAAATTCGAATGTGTTGCACTGAACACACGTCATAAATGATGAACATGTCTAAGCTAATTTAAAAGTAAAATTTGTATTATTTCAAATGCGAAAGACAACAGTGATAAAGAATGCAAGCCTGGAAAACTTTGTGAAACCCAACCTCTGACATGATTTTGTATGAAAAACGAAATATTTTGAACAAAATCTTTTTATTTAGCCTTTAAAATGTATACCAGTGCTTAATAACGTACTATGTATGTATGTATGTATGTATGTATGTATGTATGTATGTATGTATGTATGTATGTATGTATGTATGTATGTATGTATGTATGTATGTATGTACGTATGTACGTATGTACGTGTGTATGTATGTATGTATGTATGTATGTATGTATGTATGTATGTATGTATGTATGTATGTATGCATGTATGTATGTATGTATGTATGTATGTATGTATGTATGTATGTATGTATGTATGTGTGTACGTATGTATGTATGTATGTATGTATGTATGTATGTATGTATGTATGTATGTATGTATGTATGTATGTATGTATGTATGTATGTATGTATGTACGTGTGTACGTATGTACGTATGTACGTATGTATGTATGTATGTATGTATGTATGTATGTATGTATGTATGTATGTATGTATGTATGTATGTATGTATGTATGTGTGTGTGTGTGTGTGTATGTATGTATGTATGTATGTATGTATGTATGTATGTATGTATGTATGTATGTATGTATGTATGTATGTATGTATGTATGTATGTATGTATGTATGTATGTATAACAGTGCTTAATAATGTACAGTACATATAACAGTGTTCAAAATGTACACCAGTGCGTATTAGCGTATGATACATCCACTTGTGTTCAAAATGTATATTAGTGCTTAATAAAGTACGATACATATACCATTGCTCAAAATGTTTATCAAGACTTAAAAACGCATTATACATATACCAGTGTTCAAAATGTACACCAGTGCTTAAAAACGTACAATACATATACCAATGTTCAAAATGTATACCAGTGCTTAATAATGTACAATACATATGCCAATGTTCAAAACGCATGCCAGTTATTAATAACGTATAATACATATACCAGTGTTCAAAATATATACCAGTGCTTAATAACGTACGATACATATACCAGTGCTCAAAATGTATAACAGTGCTTAGTAATGTACAATACATATGCCAGTGTTCAAAATGTATAACAGTGCTTAATAATGTACAATACATATCCTTTTGTTCGAAATGCATATCAGTGCTTAAAAACGTATGACATGCATACCAGTGTTCAAGATGTATACCAGTGCTTAATGTGACGTGATTCATTGTGAATTTATAAGTACCTTTAACAATTTTTTCAGTCATGTCGCTACGATGTCTGCAGTGTGGTAGTTTATACTGATGTCTAGCAATAGGGCATCATGCCGCAGACATATAGCATGATGTCCCACCCAGTCACATTATCCTGCCACAAGGCCACCAAGTCCTAACACTAACCTCTAAATGCTGAGCGTCAAGCGAGGCAGCTGTTAGTAACATTTTTGTAAGTCTTTGGCATGACTCGACAGGGTATCAAACCCACGGCCTTCTGCATCTGAGGCAGACGCTCTAACCACTAGGCCACCGGAACGGTTCCATAGCTTAATTACGTACGATACATATACCAGTGTTCAAAATGAATACCAGAGCTTAATAACGTACAATACATATACCAATGTTCAAAATGTATACCAGTGCATAATAAAGTACAATACAAATACTAGCTCTCTGAATAGCCTTAAGCATGCAAAATGAAATCGACCCCAAAATAATACTGATCGATTATCTTGCGTGACTCATCGCAGCATATAACAAACTCATAACAAAACTTTTAAAATAGCAGAAGTAATTAACACGTTAACAAGAAACAAAACATTATCACTAAAATTATACGAATGCCTCTTTAAAGAATATATATTTCCTTACATAATGCATTCATCGCAGCCAAGCACGAAATATTGGAAACGTTTTAAAACTCGAATTGTGTATATCCAGAAGAAAAAAAAAAATGTTCAAGCCACTAGAGAGGTATAAACTTCAACGGGAAATTTAAGATAGTTATTCTTTGTAGGACCATGACAGATAGCGATCAATAGGTCAACTCGATTGAAGGTGTTGGTGAATGTAGATTCCATGAATTATTTGTATTTTAATGCTTGATAAGTTTAAATCATTTAAAGGGAGAAAAAAGAACATGTCAGTGGGTATGCTTTGTTTTATTTCGTTTACGTACAATTATATACATTCTATTTTATTAATACCAACCCGATAAATTGTTGAGGTCGTCATGACATTTGTAGTTTAATGGGGTTGACTAGTTGATCAAATGTGAGGTGATGTAGAATCATCGGTGAAGAAATAGCGGTTAACGCGCACTTTATACAAATGTAAATCAGTAATTAACAGTTAGAAAAGAGAAGGCCCTAATTTAGAAACTTTTGGAACACCATTAAGGGCATACCAGAAAAAAAGAATAATTTTAAACGTACTAACAACCTGTACTTTGTTAGCATGCTTTGAATTAAACCAAGAAAATGAGTTTCAGAAAATCTTAAAAGCTATTTCTAAACGCGCAACAAATGGTCAGATAACACGAATGCTTTCTTAAGAACACTTCTCAGTATCTTAGCGGATTCAATCAGATGTAGCCACTGGTCCATACATTTCGTCAATGACAGAAACCTGACTGTGACTTATAGAGGAATATTTTTTAGCATATTTTAATAGATGATTGATTATAAGTTTTCTCGATAATATTTGAAGTCGCTTAGGAACATATATATGCTGACATGGCATGTCAATATTTTTACTTTCCTTATAAACTATGAATATCTTGGCTTTTTTCGATGAGTCAGAAAGTTTTCCGGAAGTGATACTGCTCATAATAACATTTTTTTAAACGATTCAGATTTGACAGAGCCCAAAGTTTGAAAATTTTGTGATGAATGCCGTCTAGACCCGCCAATTAATTCCTTTCTACTGGTAATATCAATAGTGAGAGTTAAGACAATTAGGGGGAGTTTAACAGCAACATGATCGAGTATACATTTAGTGAGAAAGTCAGTAAGTTTATAATCGGCTATGTAAACCTGCAAATGATTGAGTGTTTGGCAAATATGAGTAGAAAGAGGTTCTGTTTAATTTGGAGTGTCGTGATCGTGAATATATCTAACGCCTGCCATTCGCTGTAATTTCGCATGCACTTCGAAGTACTAATTTTGGTGGAGTTAACTAACCGAGGTAATTCCAGATGCATCAGTTGTCAGTGTCAGCTTCAACTTTTCTTTGAAAATGATACGTCATTTCTAATAACACAGGCATGACTTTGTTCTGCCATGAACTAGATTTGGTAAAACCTTCACTTCCATGATAGCAGTCTCATTCATGTTGCGCCAAAATGATTATACTTTGATGCAGATGTTTTCATTATTTGATTGTGTTGACTTCAATGGCAGCGTCCATATTTAGCGTTGTTAGAAAATAGTAATGAACCAACTGTAATTCTAACGTTGACTGCTTAAGGTATCTATATACTACTACTACTACTACTACTACTACTGTTACGACCCTGTAGTTCAAGCGTGTATGTGTTAAGGAATGAATTCTGTATAAATCTTTTTTCTTCATTTGTATTTCACTAAATTTAATTATTAATAAGAATATATTAACATCAGTCTAATAAGCTGTTAAAAACATCGTGTTTACTTGAGTCGTAAATATGACTCATATGAGCACGTGCTATGTATGATGGTAAATTCATTACAACTAAACATTCAAGAATAGCTATGAAAACGATTGGCTGATACTTGGTCAGGCTTTTCTAATGTCAAGATGTATTGCGAAATTACACATGTACTCCGTGCGGGTGTAATTGAAACGACGTATTAGCTTCGTTTATATGCTTAGGCATTTTGTAAGTTCAGTCAGTCAGAGTAACAGCCAGAATAAAGTAAATATTAATCAAACATGTGGAGCAAAAGGGAGGGAAATTCCAAAAAAAAATTAAACATTAGGACAATAATAGATTATATTAAAGAAAATGGAAACATGGGCGCCATGGTGCTCATTGATCAAGAAAAAGCTTTTGACAGAGTCGAACGTAACTTCATAAAAATGGCATTTTAAAAAGTTTGATTTTGGAGAAAATTTCCGGAATCGGACTAAAATTCTGTACAACCAAATAATCGCGAGAGTACAGGTTAATGAAATATTAACAGATAAATTTAAAATGCAAAGATCAGTGAGGCAAGGATGCACACTATCTATTTTATTATACGTAATACAAATTGAACTTCTAAGTATAAAAAATAAGAAATAAGAAACTCAATTATGGAATAAAATTACCAAATTTGAAAGATGAAATTAAAATGCTCCAACATGCTGATGATTGCACCAACTTTATTAAAGGCCTAACTCTTTTAAACACTTAGAAAAAGTGTATGGAAATTTTGGAAAAGCATTGGGATAAAAAAATTAACCATGATAAAACCGAAATAACAAATAGAGTAAATGCACTAGGTATTTTTTAGAACAAATGAAGAGGAGGAAAACTTTAAACAAATAATTGAAAAAAATAAAAATGCACAGATATCTAGGCGCTAACATCGTTATGTATAATGGACCGTGCCTAAGTAGCCAAAATATATTTATATTCCAATATGAATTATATTCTTAAATCAAATGACTCAGATAATAAAAATTTCGAGAAAATATACAAAGCTGTACATCCAAAAAGAGACACTATATAAGCCAAAAATAGAGGAGGTCTAAATTTACACAACCCAATTTTAATGAAGCATACTAATATTTTAAACCGTTTTAAAACTCTTCAATTTAAACCCAATATGCCTTGGGAGGCACTGTATATATACTGGTATGGGTTAATTATGAAAAATAGTCTAGATATTTATAAAAATAACAATTTAAGTAGACTATTAAAAGTACCAAGGAAATTAAGATATGTAAAAATGCTGATGTTTAAATACGGAGAGGGACATGGAAATTTGGTAAATTAATAAAAAAGATACATATGGGAAAATAGGAGATAAAAGTACAAAGAAGAAACAGAAGTAAAATAGAAAATGAAATATGGGGGTAAGGGTAAACTGGGGGGGGGGGTAATATGGTAATATTGGGAGAAAATAAACTCGTTAAAAATACAAAATATACTATTTAAATATTTGCACAATACATGGCTAACCGGGGAAGTCGCCCTAAGAAAACATATAATAAGGGAAATGCCTAAATGTATATGTAATAAATATGACTTCACTAAAATACATGTAATAACTGAATGTGAATTTTTTTTTTAGAAAGGAATGCTATAATCACAGATTATTACAAAAACGGAGAATTTTAGGAAAAACAAGCTTTTATATTTAGACGGAAATTTTAAGAAAAGATACTTATATGAAAATAATTGAATACATTATATCTATAATGAAAAATTGTGGGAAAGTTATAATAATTAGGAAATGAAAGATCAACCAAACTAACAAGTGTACTAATATTAACCTAATATCTATTATTTTCTCTTTATAGAGAGGAATATACACATGGAAGAAGTAAGAGAGAAAGACATCGAAGGGCTATATCACATTGCGATACGCGAAGTGGGCAGGCCTGCGAAAGAGTCTTCGAAAACCCCATGTGTAGTAAACAAACAAAACTTTGGCAGTCTTGAAATAACCCTAGAAATAACCTTAGGGAAAATGCAGGTATAACATGTTTAATAAAAGAAATGATTGCGCCTGTATTGGAAGTAATTCACTGCATCTAATAATTAAATATATAGTACCCATATAAAGGAAGAGATATTACACTACGCAAAGTCAGTTTAAACATTAGGGTTGTTTTTTTTAAAAAAAAAAATGCACCGTCTCATCCTAAAAAAAGTCCAAAATTAATAAACTCCATAAATTAACTAATAATATAGATAAAAAGATATTTTTTTTCAGTATGAGTGTATATTAAATCTGAATGAAGTGAAAATATATACATATGTACTATAAGTTTTATTTCTAGAAGCAAATGGGAAATTATTTGAATATAGCGGCTGTCCTAACAAATATACTATATAGCAACATACAATATAGCACAATACATATAGCATGCATAGGACGTAGGTGGCCCTTAGCCAAAGTCACATGAATATGAACAAGGGGAACGACGCCGATAGAGTAAATAAAACCCTATCGGATGATTGAACCTTTAGATATATTAGGATATCAATTTTGGGTAGAGAAATTAAAAGGTGTGTAGGACTATGGTGTTCCTTACAATTTGAGATTAGTTACAAAATTAAAAAAAAAACTTGGTTCAATATTTCATAACTTGGATGACATAATAACCGACTTACTTTAGAAGAGGCTTTTCACAAATGTAATCGTAAATAATCTGGTTCAGAGCTCATAACAATAAACGATTTACTTGCTTTATTTTCAATTGTAAAGAAATTATTCAGCCGAACGAATCAGGTCTTATTTTCTTTTCAACTATCGCAAAATTAATCTACATATTGGTCTGGTTCAATAATCCATGTTACGAGTTGTAATCCATGTTATGAGTGGAACAAAAGCGATTTATCAAAAT